TCTCAAAAATAATAAATAAATGTTAAAAATATTTAATAAATAAAATGCAATATCCTGATGCCTGTTTTCATCAAGAAGATAGATAGGAATGAAATGGGGGATCATGGAGCAGATCAGTTATGAACATCCCAAAAAATTCAGAATAAAGATCCATCCCAGTCTGTAGCAGGGAAACAATGTATGTGGTCTGCCAATTTGTCATAACTTAGTCACATAACCACATGACTGTACACAAGAAAGTTAAGAAGAAAATTGGAGGAGGAGGAGGAAGGCAGGGGTGGAGGAGGAAGAGACGGATGAAAAGAAAAGAAAGAAAAAAGAAACAAAGGAAAACAAAGAAGAAAAGGGGTGGCAAGGGAAAAATGGCAAGATAAGAGAAACAAGGGGAAGGGAGGGAGGGGAAGGAGAAGGTTAGAGACAACGCTAAGAGACTGACAGGGTACGGAGTAAATGCAGGTCTACCCCGGCCACCCTCAATAATTCTGTGAAACTGTAAAATGGGAATACATTCCACCTACAGCAAAATCTGCTTCTTGAACAGGGTCATCACTATTTTTCAAAAGATACATAGCGCAAAATGACAGAAGAGTAACCAACACTCGTACAATTCTCCAGGACTTCAATAAATTGTGCTGCAACTCTGCTCCAGAAGGCTGAATGAGGGTAGGGAAGCCTCGAGCGGGACAGGCGACGGGGAGGTGGTGTCAATGCTCCAAAGCAAAGGAATGTGGAAGGATGCATCACAGGCAACCTTGGAGTGCTGACCAGAGACAAAGGAAGTCTGCAAGAAACAGAAGATGGTCCTTTCCCATTCAAACCGTTATGTGGCCCGCATATACAGGTAGGCTTGGAAACCAACCAAAGGAGACATCACTGGCCATGAAAGAGGACGAAGCACATGAACACAGGAGAGAGGTGGTATGAGTGTTGAGCCAGATACACGTTTAATTCCAATCTTGGCTCCACCATTAGCTAGTTTGATGCTGTTTGCAAGTAGCAGAATGGCTCTGAAACTTAGCTCCTTTCTGGTAAGCTTCCCAAGCGCGCTGTCATGATCAAATGGCATCACGTATGTAAAGCACTGAACTTGGAGTTAGACATTATTCTACAGCAGCTACCACTGATGGAGGGACTCCCCTTCCATCAGTGGTAGCTGCTGTGGAATAATGTGTAACTCCAGTTTCTCTAAGCAATGACAAAAAAAACAGACCAATAGGACCCACGTTCTAAGTCAACCCAAAATAGAACATGTTAAATAAGGTAACACATTTGAAAACTGAAATCTTCGCTTTTGAAAATGAGCAGGTAACTTTTATGAATTCACAGCAATGAGAGTGGCCTTTGGAATGCTGGTCAAATTTCCTCTTTTAAGTGATTGAAAACTCAGAAGGAAATGAAAGGTTATTGTAGTTTGGATGTATGTGGGCCAAAAGAAACTTTAATTAAAAGGAGGCTATTTATTTCAATTTTTTAAATGTATGTAACACAAGATTAAGGTGGAGTTAGAAAATTCTAATTCATAATGAAGTTATATAGATGTGCGTATGTACACACACATACTTATGTGTATATACATACATACATTTTATATGTATATGTATGCACACAAATTATATATGTACACATTAGAAACAACAGAGCTCCTCTGAGGATGCTATTACTGATGTGTAGCATCATCTAAAAGATGTTAGCCTAGAGATATCTAGCAGAAAGTTGTCCTTAGCTTTCTGTGAACCTGACTAGACTACATCTCCCAAATTCATCCCTTTGTAAAGAAAACATATTGGATAAAGTTCTCGAGTGCTTCGTGGAATACTGAATAAAAGAGCTTCAGGAATAAAGGATGTGCTTCCCCCAAGCTCCATCCAGGCCACTTACCTGTCCAGGAGCAAGTTGGGAGCAAATAGGAGCTTCCCTGGATGCTCCATGGAGCGCCAGACAAGTCCAATCATCAGGATCTCTAGCCAGGCACATTCCAGAAGGTGAACCTGATCGTGGAGGCTCAAATCAACAAAGCCTAGAACAAGACAAGGAAAACCCTGCTGACTTAAACTGAAAAGTCATTATTAGTGAAATGAGAAAATCAAGGATTTGAGCTCGTGAGGTCTATTTTCTAGTAGTATGACATGTAATGGAAGCACACTTGATAGGAAAGTCAAGGTTTTTTTCAAACCTAGTATATCAATGAACTCTAATGTAACATTAACTTTCTTAGTGCCTTAGCGTCACATCTATAGACATGTACTACCTTGTACAACCCTCTTAGCTTTCTATAAAGTTCTGTACTTAAATAAAACCGATATCTTAGACATCTTTTTTTCACTTAGACATTTCTAATAGCCCTATGTGATTACTGCATTTCATTTCTGATTCAGTTGAAGATATTTAGGTACAAGAAATTTAAACAACTTGCCTAAACCAAACAGGCATTGGAACACAGGCAGGACCAAAATTACTACATTTCTATTTCTTTGCTTCACTACTAAGCCATGCTCTTTTTTTTTTTTTTAACACCATGTAAAAGGAAGACTAGTGAAATAGCGTGTGTAAATAAATAACGTGAGGGAGAATGAGTCAGAGGAATAAAGGTGACATTATAATTACTTCTGGTAATAAATACTAATGTGCCCTTGTTTTCTAAAGGCTTTAATGGGAGATTAAAGCTTTTCCTAATCATCACTGACAATAATGGTGGATGCCTAATGATAACACCAACAACAACAAGGAGGAGGAGGGGGAGAAGGGGAAAAGGGGGAGGAGGAGGAGGAGGAGGAGGAGGAGGAGGAGGAGGAAGAGAAAGAGAAGGAGGAAAAGGAGAAGGAGCAGGACAAGGAGGGGGAGAGGAGAAGAAAAAGAAGACCAATTTATTGTGCCATGACTATGGTTTTGAAGCCATGCTATTTCCTGAATAATTTTTTTTTTCAACGTTTATTTATTTTTGGGACAGAGAGAGACAGAGCATGAATGGGGGAGGGGCAGAGAGAGAGGGAGACACAGAATCGGAAACAGGCTCCAGGCTCCGAGCCATCAGCCCAGAGCCCGACGCGGGGCTCGAACTCACGGACCGCAAGATCGTGACCTGGCTGAAGTCGGACGCTTAACCGACTGCGCCACCCAGGCGCCCCCTGAATAATTTTTTAAATCTTTATTAATACAATAACTCTAAGAGGTAGAAACTGATGGGAATGCCCTTTTACAGATAAGAAAACAGATGTTCAGAGAGCTTATATATTTGTTAAGATAGAGATGGGACTATAATCTCCAGAAGCTGTGCTCTTGATTACAACTGATACTACCTCTTATGAGCTGCAATTAATTATAGAATTTGGATCAAATAATTAAATAAACTCAACCACACAAATCAAGATCCACCAGAGTGACAGGCATTAAATGAACGAAATGACCATAAATCTTGCTGCCTCCCAAACCAGCTCCCAGACCTCTTGCCCCAAGGTATCACATCAGGCTATTTCCTTCCTCTCTCCCTCTGCCTTCATCCCTTTGTTCTCACTCATCCATGAGACTGGCTCTAGAAACTCCTTTTCTGGTGTCCTCTTATTTATTTTTTCTCACTATTATTACACTGTTGTTAGTTATATATTATTATGTTTATTAAACAGCCAAAACATAAGTTTATTTATGTAAGCAGTCAAGGATGGATGGTTTGCCAACTGGATGTTTTCTCTTGGGTGTCTTGGAGCTATCACAGGATCAGCATTAAACAAGTAGCTCATTTCTGATGCATGGAAGAAACACCCTTACAGCTAGATAGGTGACAATCCACATAGAGAAACCCCAACTAAAGAAATACCTCAGAGTCTATGCCTCCTCCGAGCCATCGTTCCATAATCAAGCCTCACCAATTCTATCTTTGAAGTAACACTAAAATTCTTCCTCTCTTTTCTATATTTCCAATGTTACTATTTTAATTTAATTCCTAAGAGTTTCTCACCTTTCTGTCTGACTTTTGTAACTTAACATAAGTTATTTTGAGACTTACCCATGGTCTTGCATGTATGAATAGCTGATTCTTTTTATTGCTGAGTGGTATTCCATCGTATGGATATACATGATAAACAAAAATACAATGCACGTATCCTTTCATTGGACTTTTGGGTTGTTTCCAGTTTGGAGTTATTACAAATAAAGCTTTTATGAGGAGTCTATGTACTACTTTCTTGTATGAACATAGGCTTTCATTCTTCTTGGGTAAAGATTTAAGAGTACAATGGCTGGATCATACAGATCTACAGGTATATGTTTCACTTTCTAAGAAATTGTCAAACTGTCCATTTTCACTTCCAATCAGCAACCGATAAGAACACAGTTGTTCCATATCCTCCCTGATACTTGGTATAGTCAGTCTTCTTAATCATAGACATTCTAGTAGATGCACAGAAGTATCATAGTGGCTCTGTGGCTGTAATTTGCATTTCCCTAATAACTAACGATGTTGAGCATCTTTTCATGTGCTTCTAGCAGATCATTACTGTACATGATATTCATGTTAATTATGCATATATCTGTAAATCCTGCTAGACTGTGTATTCATTAGGAGAACCAGATGCATGATCCTATCAAATTCTGCTTTTTAAAGTCCAAATTTATTGCACCTTTTCCAACATCAATCAACCATGCCACGGCCCATAACAGGGTAGACTTTACCAGAGCAGGTGTCTTCCCATTGGAAAGAGTGGGTTTCACTCACATACAGCAGGGCCTCCAACTGGAGAGAAAGTGGGTAGCTTTGTTCATTACACAAACAAACAGAGAACAAAACTAAAAGATGAAAAAACAGTGTGTTTCAGAAAAAAAAAAAACTTCTGAAAAGAAAAAGGAACAGGTATGTCTACAACCTGCAGCCATATACCCCCAGAGTGCACTGGGTCAAAATGGACTATCTTAGTTCTGGAAGAAACACTGCCTGAGGTGACGGGAAATGTTTCTTTATCTCAGTACCCAAAGTCTGATGGGATAAACCGACTCCAGTGGGCAGTACTTAAAAGGAAAGCTCTCAAGGAAGTTTTAATTCCCTAAGATTTTACCCCAATCTTTTGGGTGAAGTCTCATAATAGCAATGCAAATGACACTGTAAATTAAACTCACTTTCAGAAATGTTGACATTCGAAAGTGATGTCATTTTTCATGACATTCACTGTTTTGTATGGGGAAAAATACAACCATGTGATAATGTCACCCATGATGACACCTACACCACATTATCCGGTAAACTCCACAAACCTCAAAAAATCCCACAGGATGAGATTTGGGAGTATCTTGGGAGAGAACTGCAGCTGGCCACAAAACCATTTGATTTTGGAAAACCAGAGGAGTGTTCTCTGGTAGCAACCTTACATATTAAGCTGAATCATACTTTTTAATTCTCACTTCAAAACTTCAGTGCTACTTAAGTCTGACAGTTTTAGTGGTCTTTTGGGAACCTCAGAAGCTCACCATAGCCATTTGTACCACACAAGTCTGGCGATTATGAAATCTGTCTGAAGTATGTCTGTTAGTAATAGTTTTCAGTCCGAGCCCAGCAGAACTGCTGGGGCCTTCTGTTGAGATGATGCAGACCTCTCAAAAAGAAACAGTCTATTTAATTATCTTTCCCAGCTGTGCATATTGCCCGTGGACAAGGGTTATTGTATCTCTTGCACAGTATCCTCTGCAAGTTCCTGGGGCAGCGGCGGGGGTGAGGGTGCAGAGAAGACTATCAATCGACCTTCTCGATGAACGTGAAGGCTACTGAAGACTGTCCATTAAAGACTCTCAATTCATAACCAATGAAGAAAAATAATGTACTCAATCCCAAACAAAATTATATTGTCTATGCATAGACATCAAGTTTCAACCCTTGGTTATTTTCCGTATAAACAAGAAGGATGGTCTAATGTGCCATTTTAGGTGGATCTGCTATAAAAATTTAGAGGCATTCAACAAAGCCTTCCTTGAGCACCTGAAAGTGATGGAAGTATGAAGATGGAAGGGAGCAGCATCTATGCGATATGAATAGAGGCATCGGTGACAGGTCTTAGGACAGGTGACACAGTGAGAGATGATTCACCCCCCATCACTTGGAGACTTCCATCTTAGTGACAGTGGACAGTGACAAGGCGCCCTGGGCCTGCGAATTCCACACGACTGCAACAGAAAGCATAGCTAAAAAGTAATAACAATGGATTGCTGAGACCAAAGGAAATCAGACGCAAGGAAATCTCATTTTATAAAATAAAATTTTTTCATGTTTACTTATTTATTTTTGAGAGAGAGAGAGAGAGAGAGAGAGTGCACAAGCAGGGGAGAGGCAGAGAGAGAGGGAGACAGAGAATCTCAAGCAGGCTCTGCACTGTCAGCCAGGAGCCCAAAGCAAGGCTCAAACTCATGAACCATGAGATCATGACCTGAGCCGAGACCAAGAGTCAGACACTTAACCAACCAAGGCACCTGGGAGCTCCTATAAAATAAAATTAAAAAAAAAAAAGCAAACATGGGTCTGTTTCTCTAGCCTGCATTCACAGGCCTAGTAATAAAGTCTCTGGAGATTGGGTTATACTGGAAACAGACAGAAATGCCTCAACTCCTACTTTCCACCCGCTATGTGGACAGGGACCTAACGAAGTTGAGGGAGGTCTCTTTTATGAAGAAATAGCCTCCCTGTCCATACAACAAGTCCATCATCTCCAGCTTCATCACCATGTAAAGACATTTCTGCCTAACTAAGAAAGATTTTTAAACTGTCAAGATTTTTAAGGAGCTCATGACATGTCCTCCTCCTTCCCTTGGGCCTCATGAGATCCTAAACCCTCTTCCCCACTCTGCTGGAAACTGCTGGACAAGTTACTTAATTTGCCTTGACACACAGGAGATCTTCACCCTCCCTTACGGGGTATGACAAGGCTCTTAGAAATCACATTGAAAAGTGTGCTGAGATCCTTGGGCAAAATGACTGATATAATATGAATGCTTGTAAAGTTCCTCACTGTGGTGGAGTAAAAGGTAAGTCACAGTGGCTCT